ATTTTCCAAAAATGTGTAATTTAAATAATATAATGTAGAGAGCAGTGTTTTTTTACATCACTACTCTATGATATTTATATACTTGGTAATACGGAGTATATGTTTTTAGGTAACAATCTTTGATATTTTCAGTTAAACATGCTAAATTGTGACTAACAATGCCTTTATATATACCAAGAGATATAAATATGAATGATATGATAATGTTCTTTTTTAAAATACCATCATAAAATTCAATAATGATTAACTAAAAGGGAAAGATTTTGCATTGTTATTGTTGTGCGTGTATTTCAAATGCATTTACAATATACAATTTCACTTCAATATTATACTTAATAAAAAATATGAACTATAAATATATTAATGTGGATATCTTAATGTCTCGTGCATCGCACGGGTTTAATTTCTATATATATAAAAACTCAACCGTGAGGTAAAAACCCCGTTCCCGCCTAAAGAATTGATGTCACAAATGCGTCATGCATGTCGTCGTATAGGAAAATTTTAAAAAGCACGTCGCGTGCTCCTTATTGAGCACGTAGTACGGTTGACGCCTTTCCAGGAAAATACTTCGTATTAGAAGGCTTAATATTTGTAAGTTAAAGTATATTAGTAATCATTAGTTGGCAAGCTATAGGCCACTTAGAACTTAATAGTTTTCAAATTTCAATCTTAGAACAAATAATATGAACTTAGACAAGATTTTTCTAAATCCATGTATGCATCACAATATAAATTTTTTTTTCCAGTGTTTTCTTTCTAAAATTAAATAATTAATTTGATTAATTCCTAATCTTATACTCCCCTATTTAATAAAACTTGGTTATGTTCACAAATGATTTTTTTAGTTCCAAAATATTTAAAGTATGAAAATTATATGAAGCTATTCTTTGTTTTTTTGGAAAACGGAATTATTTCTTTCTTTTGAACAAAAAAGAGAGGCTTTTATATTAAAATAGAGAAATAATTTTATTTTATAAAAATATAAGTGTTAATTTCCCACAAATATAAAACATATCCCGTATATAATTTTTATCTTAATATACAAATAACTTTTCTCATATGTGTGGTTAAAGTCAAAGTATATATCTCTTAAAACATACTCCCTCCGTCCCGCTAGAAGGTTCACGTTACGGTTTACGATGCTTGACTGATGATAAAGCAAGTTAATTTATGTTCACACTCTAATTATTTTTAGTAAATAAAATTTACATATTCAGAAACAACATTAAAACCGCTACAAAGCCTGATAAAAAAAATGTAAATTTGATAAAAATTTGATATAAAATGCAAAAGATTAAAATTGATTTATGTTGACTATGTGAATAGTGGAGGAGAACCTTCTAATGGGACGGAGGTAGTAAAATATAACGTTTGACAAATGAAGACACCATAAACAGCCAATTAGACACTTTTGGCAGGCAACTAAGCGCCCCTGTTAGATTGATAATTTAGTTAGGCGCCAAACCAATTATTCATGACGGCTAAACCAAAATCGTGAAGCTTAGCACCACCTAGCGGTCTAGCACCTAGATGGGACTAGTCGGGCACCTAGATCAATTATTGGAACAACGATAATAACTAATTAAAAAATGCTTTCAAATAGACTAATTAAAATCATTGATCAAAATTTATTATCATTGATCAGGAAAAATGAAATTGACCAAATTTTTCAGAACCGAGGGAGTACACATCGTTACAAAAATTTGAATATGATATTTGTATAGGAATGGTATTTTGTCTAATTTCATGTTTTTGTATACATGGACGTAGCTAGGGGAGGGCCAGCCCAGACCCAACCCAAATTTTAAAAATGTCCGTATTTTTAATGTAAAAAAATTCACAAATATTTTTTGTACCGGCCCAATCCGATCTAGTGCCCTGGCTCCGTCCCTAATTGCATATGAATGATATTTTTATCATACAATAGGACGAGAAATCCTTTTCTAGACTTTTTTTCATATGTTGAAACATTATATTAATTGTTCTTGTGATTGCTTAAATTTCAATTAAGAACTACACTTTAGTCTTGTAATTGCTTTCAGTCCCAATTTTATGCTAAAAACGGTAGGCCCTAGTAGAGTAAGGGTATTTCTAATTGGATTGGTTCTCGTAAATTAGATTAGACCAAATTTAAACAGATCAGATCAGACCGGGTCATATTTTGACGGATGTAATTAAAATACATATAGAACAAAGACATACTGTCTAGTTTAGGTCATACAGACTACAAAATTTTAGACTTAAACAAATCAGATTGACTAGATCAGATCTGAAAATTTTCAAACCAGTTATAAACATCCTCAAAGTTTTCATATTCTTATCACATGACTTGGTATGTTTTTAATATGATTGAAATTTTATGATCTGATCTCGTTTAATTTGTTTAGGTCTGATTTCATTTGGTCAACGACCTTACCGGATAGAAAACTTCAGCCCCTATTATATTTGTGGGAAATTAACATTTTTATACTTTTATAAAAGTTGTTTTAAAAAAAATCCATTTGCCAAAAAATAAAAGAATAGCTCCATATAATTTTCAGACTTTAAATATTTTGGTACTAAAAATAATTTGTCATCATACCCAAGTTTTATGAAATAGGGGAGTATAAGATTAGGAATTAATCAGATTAATTATTTAATTTCAGAAAGAAAACACTGATAAAAAATTTATATTGAGATGCATACATGGATTTAGAAAAATCTTGTCTAAGTTCATATTATTAGTTCTAAGACTGAAATTTGAAAACTCTTAAGTTCTAAGTGGCGTATAGCTTACCAACTAATGATTACTAATATACTTTAACTTACAAATATTAAGCCTATTACTACTACAGAGTATTTTCCTGGCGAGGCGTCAGCCGTACTACGTGCTCAATAAGGAGCACGTGACATGCTCTTTAAAATTTCTCGTATAAACATAGTGAAAATTTGTTGGTAATCATTTATAGACAATCATTTACTGACACATTATAATTACCTAATACTAGTATCCTTACCCATGCCGTGCGCGGGATAAAATGATTTTGTTGTTTAGTTTAACTAACGGGAAATCACTTATTTAATTAGTTGATTATAACATTATTTGAAATGCATATTCTAACTTATTGAGTATGTTTTATTTTTGAACTATTTATCTAAATATGTTCCATTCTATATTTTCCAAAACAAAAGAACATATTTTTATAACATCCAGTTGTATCCAATTGAAATGATCTATTTTCACCTAAACAAAAAGAAAATGTTTTATGCCTATTTTATCCATAAAATTTCATCTGTGGTTTATGTTTTTTTCTCAAAACTAACTACACATTTTTGTAATTTATTTATCTAAAAATGGATGTAGTCAACTTTTTATAGATATTATCCCTTTTAGGTTTTAGAAATTTTCAAATTAGTCGTTTGATCTCTTTCTTTACGAAAGGGGTTTAGAATATATAGTTTTGTGACATTCTGATTTAATGAAAACCATGACGGCGACATGGTTAGAGAAAAATAAGGACCGATGTATTCTAAACGGTACTCAAATGTTATTTGCGCTAAAATTACAACCAAAGTTGACGTATTTAAAAGATTCGAAGTCTTTCAAAATTACGCCCTCTGTCTATTAAAATTTTTCCAAGTTGACCGGCATGGGAAATAATTATGTAAAAACTGTATAATTGACATTTGTGAATAGAAGAAAGAAATAATAGGAACCGTAAATTAATTGATTAAAATGAAACCAACAAATTTATAGGGACAATAAAAAAATTACTTGCTTAAAATAGTATTATATGCGTTCTCTTTTACTTGCAACATTGGACTTTTTGCACCATTCACATATTCTACTTTGACTATATTTTATTAATTAATGTATTATAAATTAAATTTTTAAAAAATATTTTTAAATTATAAATTTCTCTAATTTTAAATTTTCAAAATCTGTTTTTATTTTTAATTTTTTTTACTAATAAGGAATGAAAGATATTAATGGTCAAACTTGTATGTTAATTGGCAAGCGTGAAAAGTGGACCATTGCTATTAAAAAAGAATGTATGAAGTATATTACACCAACATTTATCAGTCTTTGTAGCGGTTTTAATGTTGTTTCTGAATATGTAAATTTTATTTACTAAAAATAATTAGAGTGCGAACATGGATTAACTTGCTTTATCGTCGGTCAAGCATCGTAAACCATATGGGGAACCTTCTAGCGGGACGAAGGGAGTATGTTTTAAGAGATGTATACTTTGACTTTAACCACACATATGAGAAAAGTTATTTGTATATTAAGATAAAAATTACATATGGGATATGTTTTATATTTGTGGGAAATTAACACTTATATTTTTATACAAGTTTTTTAAAAGAAAATAATTTCTCTATTTTAATATAAAAGCCTCTCTTTTTTGTTCAAAAGAAAGAAATAATTCCATTTGCCAAAAAAAACAAAGAATAACTTCATATAATTTTCATACTTTAAATATTTTGGAACTAAAAAAACCATTTATCAACATAACAAAGTTTTATGAAATAGGGGAGTATAAGATTAGGAATTAATCAGATTAATTATTTAATTTCAGAAAGAAAACATGATAAAAAATTTATATTGTGATGCATACATGGATTTAGAAAAATCTTGTCTAAGTTCATATTATTTGTTCTAAGATTGAAATTTGAAAACTATTAAGTTCTAAGTGGCGTATAGCTTGCCAACTAATATATGATTACTAATATACTTTAACTTACAAATATTAAGCCTTCTAATAAGGAGTATTTTCTTGCAAGGCGTCAGCCGTCGCGTACTACGTGCTCAATAAGGAGCACGCGACTTGCTTTTTAAAATTTTCCTTAATGACGACATGCATGACACATTTGTGACATCAATTCTATAGGTGTCGGGTTTTACCTCACGGGTGAGTTTTTATATACTTCGTATATAGAGATTTGACACGTATCGCCCATTCGCCCACTCTTATATAAGCATCAGTAAACTATACGTCTATAATTACTTGCATCAACCGCCCAGTTTTGCGATAAACGGAATCGATGTATAAAGAGTACTCGATTTGATGGATTTCCCATCTTTCACCCCCTCTTCCTAATTACTTCATGCCTCCTTCTCTACGCCTAATTAGAATCCGTTAATCATAATAATTGAAGTGAAAAAGGTTAGTCGTCATCACCAAAATTTCTCTGGGTAGGTGCGTGACATACATAAGTCAGACCCCTACAACCAACTCTCTCTCTCTCTCTCTTTCTCTCTCCCTCGGCGGCGTCTATATGGTACGCACCGCCGCACTGATGTCGAAAATGAGGGACAGCGGCGAGATGGCATACGGAATGGGAGGGCCTTACAGACATTTCACGGACACGATCCTGAGACCGTTGCTGGCGGCTGTCACCCTGCAGGCCCGCTCTTCCCTCGCCGTCTTCTTTCTCACGCTTCTCTGCGTCGGCGCGTTCATCTCCACGCGCTTTCTTGACTCCACTCTCAACTCCGCTGTAAGTATAGCTGCTACCTCTTCTATTTCTCAGATACTTACGAGTTACAGCTAACTCCGCTGAGTAACTGGTTTTAACTTTTATAGCTGAATCTCTTTTCTCTTTTTAAATAGAGACTATTGCATTTACCTCCCTGAGGTTTTACTTTATTACCAACCGGTCCTTGTTATTTACTTGATAGGTCATAAATCCAAATTTTATAAAGATAAAATTCCTTAAACAGGAGTAAAAACACGCAATAGTTATTAGTTGTGGGAATTTTATGTTTTTTTTGTTCATATTTTATAAGTAAAAGTAGCAATTTCTATCAATTAACAATATTTTTGAATGCTTTTAATTGAACTTATTTTTAAGTCTGGCACTAAGTCAAATACTTGTAGATAGATAGAAGGTTAAAACATCACAATCCAATAAAAAACATTATCAATGTGCACTTTTGATAAATTAAAATATATACTTGTAGGGAAAATTTTGTGGATTTAATTAGAAATTTGCTCGATCCGTGAGTAGAATATAATTATAAATTTAAAAAAAAGAACATGAACTCTGGAATTAAAGTTTTACAAAAATTAAACCACAGCCAAACAAAAAAAACAATTTTCTTAGAGCTCTGTCTAAGTGCGGGTGTAATTTTTGTCCTTAATCTTCTGGACAAACCCAATGCAAAATATCAATACTTATAAGCAATCTTATTACGTTGACACAACTACCCTTGACACTTTTGTCAATGACACTATTTCATCCATTAGTGGTGGAGAACAAGGGGTCTTTGAGTGAATAGAAGATCAAATAATTCGTCCGGTTATAGTGGCTTATTATAAGTATAATGACTAAAACTCCGTATAGCATTATTGAAATAGTAATAATAATAATAATAAATTTAATATATTTTTAAAAAGTTAAACTTGGATCAAAATGAAAAAATGTGAAATAATGGGAAAAGATACTCCAATAGGAGTCATGACGTATATATTTATAATAGAAGAGTTGCCAAAATACAAAGTATTCCTAATTAGATATTACACATATTCTTAAATAGATACTCCGTATTAGACTATTACACCCCTCAAACTGTGCGGGACATACAACGCGCATGTTGTCTTTAAAAAAACGAAATTACAGACTAGAAAGACTCTTAGTAAATATATCTGTCATCGGAAGATTATGAGGCACATATTTAACAATAAGATAGCAAGTAGGTTGTTTCTAGGACTTCCAAAAAATCAGATTAGGACCAAGAAATACAGTAAATATTGTTCATAATTTGGGATCCTTGAAGATACCTTGAGCAAGAGCAGCGAATGAAGTGGGCAGCGGAAAGGATCCTAGCTGACGGCCAACTGGCCCGACAAAAGACGATGGGATCATGCTAGGGTAGCCGGAGAGAGAGGCAATGACGTAGCGGTCTAGAACAACTGTGCCAGCAGCTGAACTGGACTCGGCTAGAGAATGAACGTATGTAGTAGCGGGCGGCGAATGCAATAGCACACTGAAGGCAAGCACCTTGGTCAGCGACACGAAGAAGGTGGTCTACGCCGTATCAGCCGCGCTCATAGGATCGGAGACTGCCGTAGATGTGGCGGCAGTCGACCCCGAGGTGGCAGCAGCTATACTAGGATTCATGGGAACCGAAAAAAGGAAGAAAAAAATGTGTTTTAAAACCTAGAGCTCTTGATACCATGTGAAATAATGGGAAATGATACTCCAATAGGAGTCCTGACAGATGTATTTATAATAGAAGAGTTGTCAAAATACAAAGTATTCCTAAATAGATATTAGGTATATTTCTAAATAGATATTAGACTATTTAAAAACTATGACAATTGCAAAAAAGATCATCATGACAAATAACAAGAACCTAGAAATGGGAGGGCTCACCCTCCACCCTCTAAAGAGTTGATTAAAACCAGGCCCTAGATAATATTAGATAAATAGTCAATATGAGGGAATGAATAGATTATTCATGGTTTCTCGTTTCATGGGAGACATAAACTGTCTCTCTCATAGAACTGACACTTTTCAGGTAAAGAGGCCTGCCGCGAAATATGTATTCCTGACTTATATTAGTATAGAGAAAACATGCAAAACAAATCATCGATAGTTATTAGGGAAATTTACCGGGATATAACTAAAACTCAATGAGTTTCTCAATATATGACCTAACTAGTTTTTATACTTTTGCATGACCAAAAATCCAAAAACAAATAGAAAATTCGTTTATATTTAAATGTTGAATGACGAAAATACCCTTATTTAAAATATGTGCATTTGCACTAATTTCGTCCAATTAAAATTACTGCACTTTATATTGTTATTACTGCACGACATTACTGCACAACATTACTGCACGACATTACTGCACAACATTACTACACATCCGATAATTATCACTTCACTTCCGCCAAAATTAATTCTCTTCTCATCCACTTTATGAAATTATTTATGGTTTTTGTTTTTTATTTTTTCAGATTAAATAATTTTATTATTTTACATGTAATTGAGTATATCGCGTTTCATGGCGGCATTAATGCACTATTGGGCATATTCAATGCACAACAAAATTTCTTAATGCATTCATTCACTGTCATGTACAACACATATATTATCATATTCACTACCATAATTATTACTCCTATCATGTTTACTGCCAATTTTCAATGCCCACAAACCCTAAATTCAATCACCATAGTCAGCAATATCTATTATCATGCTCACTGCCCATATTCATTGCTCATATTTAATGCCCACAATTTCTATTTTTTAATCCTAATTTCAAAATTAGAATAAAAAAAGAAAATGAATGGAGGAGGATGGCCGGTCAAGATCCATTTCCTATAAAAAAAGTCCATATTTGGTAATATTTGGGTGGTTACAATTCATTCTTACTTTATTCACACTTTATCAATTCAATATCAACCACACAATTCTACTTTTTCTTAAAACCCACACCACACCCCTTTGTCCCAAACTTAGGAGGACGGAAGCAGTAATATAAAAGAGATGAATATACATATAAAAGATAAAGTAAAAAAGGATAAAAATAATATTTATATATAAGGATAAAAGGATAAGAAATAAGAAAAAAGAGGGGAAAAGATGGTACAAGATCACTCCTTCACACGAATACCCGCCCTCCACTTTGCTCTCTCCAATGCCATACCATAATCCAATTCAAGAGGAAGCATATCATTTCTGACTCCTCTAACTCACGTCTGTTTGGGCCTTCCTCTCCCTCTCTTTCCCATCTCTTCTCCACACATCTCAACTCGTCTGACAGGTGCATCACTCGGTCTTCTATGCACATGACCAAACCACCGTAGACCAAACCACCGTAGGCGCGACTCCTGTATCTTATCTTCATTAGGTGTTACTCCCTCCCTTTGTCTCATTGTCTCATTCCTCACGCGTTCCTTTCTAGTACGCCCACATATCCAACGCAACATGTGCACCTCTGCCACACTCATCTTTTGAATGTGACATTGTTTCATCGCCCACTCCGTGCCATACAGGAATGCAGACCTAATTGATGTCCTATAAAATTTACCATTTAGTCTAGTCGGCATACCTCGATTGCATAGAAATCCTGACACACTCTTCCACTTCATCCACCCTGTTCTGATTCTTTGGGATATATCTCCATCTAACTCACCGTTCTTCTGATTATGGAGCCCAAGTAGCGGAACATATCGCTGACCGGTATCTCCTTACCATCTAGAGTAATTCCACTATTACCACTGCTTCTACCTCCACCAAACTTGCCCTCCATGTACTCTGTCTTGCTCCGACTTAGTCTAAAACCCTTGTTCTCCAATGTTTTTCGCCATACTTCCAATTTTGCTTTAACCCCTGATTGCGTCTCATCAATCAATACAATATCGTCGACAAACATCATGCACCATGGTATATCATCTTGAATTGACTTGTAAGTTCATCCATGACTATGACAAATAAGAAAGGGCTCTGAGCCGATCATTGGTGCACTCCGATAGTAATAGGGAATTCCGCAGTCCTCTCTACACTAGTACAGACACTTGTAGTACAATCCTCATACATATCCATGATGATGCTGATATACTTGCATGATATGCCTTTTCTAGTTTAGGCCCACCTAAGAACTTCTCAAGGTACCCTATCATATGCCTTTTCTAAATCAATGAACACCAAATGCAAATCCTTGTGAGCGTCTCTATACTTCTCCATAAGTTGCCAAAGAAGGCGAATAGCCTCAGTTGTTGAGCGACCAAGCATAAAACCGAATTGATTCTCTGGAATCTTCACCGTTCTTCAAAGTCTTTGCTCAATCACTCGCTCCCAAAGTTTCATGGTATGAGTCATAAGCTTAATCTCTCGATAGTTGGCACATTCTTGTACATCACCTTTATTCTTAAATAAGGGAATAAGAGTACTTTTTCTCCAACTCGTTGGCATCTTGTTGTTTCTCCAAATCTTGTTGAAGAAATTTGTTGACCATTCGATGCCTCTCTCCCCCAAACTTCTCCAAGCCTCGATCGGTATGCCATCCGGACCCATTGCTTTCTTCCACCCCATCTTCCTCAAAACCTCTTTAACTTCCGTTGTTTGGATCCTTCACACAAAATCACGATTTACCATACAATCTGGTATGGTCAAATCACCAATATCTTGCACTTTGTTCCCGTTGAACAATGTATCAAAGTATGACCTCCACCTCTCTTTTATCTCTCCGTCCTCCATTAATATCCTTTGATCGACATCCTTCACACACTTAACTTTTTCGATATCTTGAGTCATGCTTTCACGAAGACGAGCAAGTCTATAGATATCTTATTAGAAATTACATCAAATAGGACTAAAACTATGGCAAAAACTCAAAATAGGACTTGCTATGTTTTTTATTCAAAAATAGGACCATAGTGGTCCTATTGGAAACATACTCATTTCTTCCTTCCATTCTTACTCCTCCTTTAAATATTAGTAAAAGATAGCTAAAAGTCATAATTAAATGTTTAATTCATAATAAA